AATGAGAACCTACAAAAAAGTTGGTTTTGGGCTCTTAAGGTAAACCCTAAACCCTAACGACTGTTAAGCGGTTCAGAAATTGGGAGACGTGATGTAAAGCCCAATCGGACGGGACTCCGAGACACCAAGTGAAAGCTTAGGGTTTAGGGTTTAGGGTTTAGGGTTTAGGGTTTGATCTTCTTTTCAATCCAGGCCTGTGATGCATGAACCCCGACGCCCTTCATGAAGGTTCTAACAAGGAGGCTACAAACATGAGTCTACGCTACTCTTCAGCCCAGGCCTCACGAGCTTTGATTGACCCTAGCACCTAAAACCCTAAGCGCCAACCCTCAAAACCTACTCCCTAAACCCTAAACCCTAAACCCTAAACCCTAAACCCCTACACCCGAAGCCCCTAACCCCCTGCACTTCTTAAGCGCCTCACATGCTGGCCCAGGAAACGCCCGGGATCAGGTGTCTCTGACGGCTTCGCACGAGCCCGGTGCTCTCGCAAACCTCACGCGGGCTCAGGGAGTCTATGAGTTTCTTGTCAGGTTGAAAGCCTCGATTCTCTTTTTGGGGGCTTGGGTTTAGAGTTTAGGGCTTTGGGTTTAGGGTTTAGCACCCGAAGCTGAAATGCTCAGTACCTTTCACCCCAAACTCAAATCTAGGTCCGCGCTTCGAGTCGTAGGCACTAAACTACTTCTGACCACTATCTAACTGCGGGGCAGGGCTCTCTGTTGATATATTCTTGAACCTTGGTTGATCACATTTCACTTGCGGTCAGGCTTTACGCTTCAAGCTTCACAGTGAAATCTATACATTTCACACTATCAAGGGATCTAGCACTGAACCCTGAAGATATAAATGTTTGAATCTTAAACCTTAAACTTAAGTAAACCCTGAACTCCTGCACATCGATCGCCTCAACCTAAGCCCTGAAGCATCCGAAATCCTCTACAAACTGCAGCGGCAGCTGTGCGCCTGTGGAACCGTGTGAGTCCACGACATGGTCCTGAGTGGCATCTCATCTCAGTTACCGTTTCCCCGTGTTTGCGTGACTGTGTGTGTGTGTGTGTCTGTTTTTTTGGTTGTGCGCTCCTGTAGGCGGGGAATCCGGGAAGCAGGTGGATGTTGAGAGGCTGGAGCGGAACACTACGCAAGCCCTGATATACCTGTAGCAGCCGCTCAGAGATGTGATACAATACACATGGAGGCACCTCTACTGTGGTCATGGTTTCGGGTGGGAGGGGCTGGAAGCGGCGTGAAAGGCTTGTTTAGGGACCTCAATTTTCAGACTAGGGGTTTTGGGGTACATTATACTATACTTAGAATAAGGAACCCCCAAAACAGTACTAGACCCTGAAAGGCCAAACTTACAGTTTAAAAGAAACGAAAACGGCGCTAAGCCCCCAAACCTCAAAGTCAACGTTCCCTCAAATCCCGCCCAAACCTAAACACCTGAACACGAAGCCGCTGAATGCAAAATTCAGCCATAGACCCGAAATGTGAAAACCGAAATCCTACACCCTGAATCCCAGACCCGACATCCCAGATCCTACGCCCGAAATCCCAAACCCCCCTGAACCCTGCCTATACCCTAAATCCTAATTGCTAACACTCCACCCCTGAGCTCCTGCACTGGCGCAGCCAGAGAGAGCTCGCTGCCTGGGTGACATGAAATGAGGATTTAATAAGGGCTGTGGGGTGTGGGGTTGAGGGTTTTAGTTGAGGGTTTAAGGCTTTGGGGTTTTAAGGCTTGGGGGTTTAAGGCTTGGGGGTTCAGGTTCAGGGCGTGGAGTTTTGCTTGAATAAGCCTTGGGGTGGAAATTCTGAGACTCCACATATCTATCTGTAGTAGTGCCTGCTCTGTGTCCTGCTACTTCCGTGGCCAGACCCACACACGACCAAATGCAAAGATTGCGTACCAAACTTGTTGTTGCTGCTGTTGTTGCTGTTGCTGCTGTTGAGCCTCGGCAATGCCATGCACAGGATGCATATACCAAGTTGGCACAAATGAAACATGCCTTTTGTCGATACCGTGCGTTATCCAAACTTATGATTTTTGACTGGGCTCTTCAGAGCTCAGCTTCTCACGGAAGAGGTGCTACATCCTATCCCACGGTCGCTCAAAAGGAGTAACCAAAGCCGGAAACCCTCCACACCGAGCACTACGTCCAAAAACCCTGAAACCTCTTGAAGCTCCCGAAAGAAAATCAAGTAAGCTCCATGCAGCAGCGCCCGCAGGAGGTCCAGGAAGCCGCGCCCATCGCGGGACGCTTACACCCCTTTCTCCTGTTGGCTCTCATGTTCCTGTGTTCTGTCTTTATTGGTTGTGTGTTTGCGCATGGATATGCTGAGGTTCTGTCGGAAAGGCTCTTAAGAATAGCGCGGGGCTTCATCCTTGCTGCTACCTTTTCAGAATTCTTGTTAGTTGTAGAAGTACTCATAATGCTTATGCATCTATATACCCATATACAAAAACATAATATACAAAAGCACATACTTCTACCTATACACATAGTTGTATCCGTATGCACATGAATGGGCAAATGCATATACATGAACATGAACAAGTACATGTACATATAAGTAGATGCTTACATATACAGTTGCATGTACATATACATGTACATGTGTATATATACATATACACATACATATATATATATATATATAACAGATGTGTGTGTGTATATATATATATAGACAACACTTGTTTATGTATAGCCATAAATGCAACCATGCATACATGTATAAATATACACATACACGCATACATACATAGACACGCTTGACATTGATTGTGGTGAAGGGACGCCTAAAGCCAGGGACTCCATCTTCGGGCACCTTGGGTGTAGGGCCGGGGCTTGGGGCTCAGAGGTTCACAGGTTTGGGGGGCTTAGAGGACGGTTTAGGGTTTAGGGT